TCTGTCTCTCAAGCCAAATTCCCTTTGTTTCGTTCTTTCTTTGTTTCTTTCTTTTCTTCATTTCCTTCTTTCGTTCTGTCTTTGTTTCTTTCCTTATTTATACCTTTCTTTTGTTCTTTGTTTGTTTCTTTCTTTCGTTCGAGGGGCAGAGAACCAAGAGCCACTGAAAGCACGAAATTATAGGAAATCCCCAAGGGGCGAGCCAAACCAGGGTAGAGCCAAACCTTTGAAAAAAAAACCATGGCCCCAGACTAAGAAGGACAACAAAAAGTGCGGTAATAATATGAGACATCGCTGACTTTGACGCGAGTATTCAAATAGTAGTTTCTACTTTCTTTTCCATTATCCCTATAATAACCTCTAAATTACCCCTATGATATTGGTAATTATTTAGGCCCCCGTATTACTTGGAGAAGAGTGCGGCCGATCAAGGCTCCCACGTGTACAGAAATACATGTATGCATGTATAATACATTTGCATATATACGCGCATGTGCATAGTTACATTCGAACGCCTAGTTGGGAGGTTGTACAGAATTCTGTATGTACCCTTCCACATCCAAATCTTTCTCCAAATATTCCCGGAACTCCTGTAGCCGCAGATCCCAAAATTCGGAACCTCAAGCCTTAAACCTTACGCCCTAAACCTTAAATCTGATATCCCTATATATGACGGTGTGCATGACCTTGGCATACTTAAGGTCATGCAGCTTCTTTTTTTCTAATCGTCCGTATGTGACCTCTTCTTGTTACACCGAAGGCACAAGAGAATGTGGATCGGCTCTGAAGGTACTGCCAAATCATTGATGCGCACGAAGGTAAGCTCCGCAACAAGACCTAGGAGAACACTGGGCCATTTAAAATTTAGGGTCATCACCCTGGGGATCCAAAATTAAACCTTAAGCCCTAAACCGGTACCTAAAGTTTATGGGTAGTGTGTACTGTAGGCTATTTGGGTGAGTACCCTGGGGATCCGAGTCTGCAAAGGATACCTAAGGTCCATAAGTAGTGCCTGCTTTGGGCCGTGTGGATCCGCATTTGCAAGTTCCAGGCAATTATAGCTCAGCTATAAGTACACGCCCGGAACGCAATGCTGCTTCTGCAACACTAGCAACTTTGGTATTTGGGGGACCTGGATTCCCAAAGTTTTTGGGACAGCACGGGATGCTACCTGCAAAAACCAGCTTTTCAGGGCCTTTTGTTGAAACTTATTTATGTTCAGAAATGAGCGAGCTGTAGTCTAAACTCTGAATATTCCCCTTAATAACCCCCTCTATAATCCCCATACAATCCCCTTTAAATTCAGACTATGGCTCAAATAACTTAGTTTGCCGCAACCCTGCTAGAAACACCAGCATGCATGGTATTTGGTGAAGCTTAGCCGTTTTCAAAAGATTCCAGGTCTTACTTGTAAAAATTTATGTTCGGCGGCTGTGTGGCCCCTAAACTCTAAACCCTAAAGCCCCTAGACCCTAAACTTTAAACCTATGAAATTGAAAGATAATGAAAGATAAATAGGGAGGTCCCTACTTGTCCCCTACGTTCGCCTCTGCGTCACCTCAAGGACACGCACCCTCTCTTGCACCTGATCCTAAAGCACGACCTGGACTGCTACACTTCTACTTGCACTCTGCTACTACTGCTACTACTGCTACTACTGCTACTACTACCGCTGCTACTACTACTACTACTACTATGACGTATCGGCGCAATTATTGAGCAAAGTCCCTCACGCATATTTTCGCATTATCCATTAGTCCAAAGTTCGCCCCATCAGTGTCAGGGTTTGAGGAGTTCTGATTTATTTTGTCATCGCCCCGTTAATCCAAAGCTCGCCCTATGAGTCCAAGAGTTTGGGCATCTCTGATGTAATTCTATCATCGCCCCATTCGTCCAAGGTTTGTCCCATCAGTTCAAGGGTTTGAGGAGTTCTGCTTTAATTTTATCATCGCCCCATTAGTACAAGGCTGAGGAGTTATGATTATAAGTGAACAGCATCATGGGCAGAGCAGCCTTTGTTGGCCTTTTTCCCATTCGGCCACGGGTTGACAAACTTATTCTCAAACAATTTCGGCCCCGCCAACGCTAGAAAAGTCAAGAGCATCATATGCGCAGCGGCTTGGTCGGTGTCTTCCCATACGGCCACGGGTTGACAAACTGATTCCTGAACAGTTTCGGCCCCGCCAATGCTAGAAAAGTCAAGAGCATCATATGCACAGCGGCGTGTGGTCGGTGTCTTCCCATACGGCCACGGGTTGACAAACTGATTCCTAAACAGTTCGGCCCCGCCAATGCTAGAAAAGTCAAGAGCATCATGAACGCAGCGGCTTTTGTTCGGTGGCTTCCCATATGGCCACGGGTTCGGGGAACCTCTGCGCGCCTGCTCTTCCTGTCCCGTCCTTTGTTGTCAGCTTTGCCACTGTACTGCAGCTGAGCCTCAGATTTGCGGCGTTTGTCCTTCATGTTGTTACAGGATTCAGCACTCAAGTGAAGGCAGGAACTACCGTTAAGTCGAGCCTTTTTCACAGCGACTGCGGAGGCGATAATCAAAGCGTGTAACCAACAAGCACGGAAGGTGAGGACCCCAACAAGTAGGCTCTTAGCTTACATAAGCAGCCTCAAAAGTAGCTAAACTGCTCGGAGTGCAAAAACACCCCCCTCGCCGTGTGCGTGAGCACTAAGGCGCACACTAGCACTCAAAAGAAAAGGGCATACCCTTGCGGGTAGCTACAGGTGTGCTATATTGGCGAGAGTAGCTAGCTAAGAAATCATACATGGATCACTCACTGCGTCGTGCTATTACTTACTGGCCCCAGTAACGGCGCCATTCGGCGGCCGAGTACCAGGTGCGGCCTTGATAGCCTCCGTAATGCCACTTGTTCCAGTCCTCTTCGGACCATTGGGTGCGAACAGTGGCGGGACTGGCCTTTGACTTGGCCTTGGAAATAGCAGACTGCTTGGCACGGGCCGGCTGGTCGGACCTGACCTTAGCCTTGGCCGCCTCATGGTCACTCACAATCAGCGCATTGATCTCCTCCTTGAGCAAGTCGAAGGTTGTGGCCTGGAGGTTCACTGTCCCTTGGAAGGTGAGAACCTTGCGGGCATCCTCGTTGCCGAGGGCCAACCCCGCGAAGGTGGAGACGTCCATGAAGGTGCCATGCCAGCCAACGCCCATGTTCACGCGCATCTGCTGATCTGCCAATCCCAGCGCCTGCAGCTCTTCGACGCCAACACCATCATAGATGACCAACTTGGCATTGACCTCGGACTTTGAGGCACGGAAGTCTGCCTGGCTCCCGGCCCCGAGGATGACTTGCTGGCGGGTGCGTCCAGGCGCCGGCAAGAAGCCTGTGGAGTAGACCTGGAGGCGACGCATGTCCGTGCGTGTCAGACCATGCTCTGCTTGGCGGGCTGCGAAGGTGGGATCCGTGTCAAAGCGGTCAGCAAGGTCCCTGTAGTTGGTGCCTCTGATTTTGAGAGCTCGCTGCACCTTGTCCTTCGCATTCCGGATGGTGTGAGCTTCGTAGCTCATTTGCCCGCGCTCTTCGTCCTTGCTGTGCTTGGCCAACTTCTGGAGCTCATATGGGCTAATATTGCGCACAGTCACTCCAACCGTTGCGAGGCGATCCAGGATTCTGTTTCGGCGCTGAGCAGCCTGAATGAACCGACGGTCCTCGCCACGTGCCTCAGAGAGTCGATGACGGCAGTGTAGGCAGTGATGCTGCCCAACAAAGCACTCCGCCTGGCAATGCTGTATGGGTTTGCTGCTCAGGACGGCCAGCAGCAACGTCATCGACCGTCATGTGCATGGACGGCGGAGTCACTGGTTGCGGCACAAGCGAGCAGTCCTGCGCTGTTGGTGTTGGGGATGGGATATGCCTCCATCCCTCGCCCTCGGCAGGAATCTCTTTGATCTCGGGCTTGTTGATGAACGAAACCTTCTTCTTAATCTTTCTATTTTGGATTTTGAAGGTAGTAGATCCCGTCCACTTCACATCATCCCCGAGGCCCGAATCCAATTTGAATTGCTGGATCTCCAATCCCAGGTTTTCTCGATGCTCGTCCTACCCTCGGAGTCAAGATTCATGACGACCACAGCCTTGGCATTAAGCCGAGAGACAGGCACTGGCGAATCCTTAGTGGGGACAAACCCATCTGACCTTGGAGTGGCATGATGGCGGATCAGAATGCCTTCCTTGGCTTTCTGTTTCCAGCGATCGGAAGAAGTGGGCTCGCCCTTGCGGGCGGCTGCAGCATAGCTGGGCATAGCAGCGTAGGTAGGCTCACCCTCGCGGGTGGCTTCTAACCTGACCCTCGCTACCAGGACACAACATGCTGCGGGCTTGTCACCCTTCTTTTTCCTGCTCTTGCTCCTCCTGCGCTTAGCGGGCTTGCTGCGCGAGAACCTACAGTTGGCCCCTTCAGTACAGCGACCAATCTTGTGGAACTTACATGGCACTTTGGAAAGGTCTCTTGGGGAACCGGGTCTTCCACGACTTGGGCTATTTCCCCTAGGCTTTTCATCCTTGTACTTGCAATCAGCGCCTTTCTCACACTTGCCTGTTTTGACCCATGTAAAGCAGTATCCCTTCGGAACTTGGCTGGACTCACGCTGCCTGGATGCTTCTCTACCTTTCCTACCACCTTTGCCTTTGCCCTTGCCTTCTTCCTGAGCTGGGGCACCGTACTTAGCACCATGCGCCTTAGCTATCTTGTCCCTGTTCTTCCTAACACGCTCACGGGTGAGAAGATTCTTGATTGAACTGAGGAGGAACTGGTAGCTGTGCGTCTCGGTACCTTCTTTAGCACGATCATATGTTTCCAGGTCGTACTTGAGTCTGTGAGAGCCCCTGATTTGCCTGAGCAAAATGTCTATAAGGGTAAGTTCTTCTGGAACATGAGAAATCCCTGCAATGACCGACTCCCAATTGCGAGTAAAGGAGCTCAAATCGTCATTGATCAAGCTGACCTTGAGAAGGTCTTCAACTGAGTAGAGGGCCCCAACCTCATCGTTAGTCTTAAAGTACTGCTCAAACATGTAAAGCACCTGACGGCCCCGTACAGCCCTTGCGTGAGCAGCTTCAGATTCTTTGTAGTTAACTATCTGGCGTGCTAGCTCGCCTTTCAAAACTTTGGAGATTGCGGACAACAGTTTCGTATCTAGCGTAAGAAATTTGCCTGGGTCCCGCAAACCTTCCAGAGACTGATCCTTAGCATACACGGCCTGTACCCAAGCGAACGCTTCATCTGGGCGGTCGGAAGCGGCACGAATTGCCTCGCNNCGCGAGCAGCAATCCTCCAAGAACGGTAAGTTTCTGGAGTTGGGAAATCCAAAAGCTTTATCGTCTCTGCTTCCTTGGGCTTACCGTCGTCGTCGCTCTCACCCATCATAGACTGCAGGGCCTTAACCAACAGGGCTTCTGGCGACGGCTTTTCTGCGACTACATCATGGACGTCCTTGCTGGATGTAGCTCGCTCCTCGCGCGGTGTTGTGTTACCGGAGGACAATGGGAAAACCTTGGGTCCTGCAAACAGATCCTTCATCTCATCAGGCACCTGGTAAGGATCAGGGAGCTCAGAAGCTGCATTGCCCGTGATTTCAATCCTTAGACTTGCGGGACTTGGGCCGGCGTTCTCAGCCGAGGCTGTTCCTCGCGGAAAGCTATCCTCTGGCTGCGGTACATGTACCCCACCTGAAGACCGAACAGCTTCACCAAGACGCCTTTGCAACTCTGCATTTTGCTCTGACAGGTCCTGAATCAAAGAATCAAACTCTACCTCCTCTACCGTGAGAATTCGCCTGTGTTCTGCCTGATGTTGGGCAAGCTCATCGGAAAACTTTCCTTTCAAGAAGGAGATAGTTTCGGTACGGCTGGCGTCGAAGGTTTCCCTCATAGCTAGCATTTCCGCATCCTTCCTATCGACCCTTTCGGACATTTCGACAAGACGGTTTATGAGGTGTTCTGCATGCCGCTCTTGCATAACATTCTCACTGTGCCTTCTCTCAAGTGATTCCTGAGTAGATCTCAGCTCAGACTGAGTGGACCTCAGTTCAGCCCACATTCCATCTGCAAACGTGTTGAAGCGATTGGTCAGTGCTGCGATCCTTCCCTCGTGAGTAGCATCTGCCACTTGCCGGAGCTCTTGCATCTCGGCCAAGACGACGTTTCTGGCTGCATCCTCGTACTCCCTAAACCGGAGTTCAGCTGCAAGACGTACGGCCTGAGCAGCTGCGTGCGTTTCACCTGCATACGAAACCTCCATATTCTGTTGCATGAGGTGCAAGGAACGAGCGTCTACAAACATGCTCTGCTCGAGTGTGGGTGGACCACGCATCTCAGCATCTGGGGTAGAAGAGGTTGATGGCACTGGTATGTTTCGAGGATCAACCAACGCAGTAGAGGGGGCGGCACCGGCCATAGCTGATTACGGCTGATAACCTGTTGTTACAGGAGTCAGCACTCAAGTGAAGGCAGGAACTACCGTTAAGTCGAGCCTTTTTCACAGCGACTGCGGAGGCGATAATCAAAGCGTGTAACCAACAAGCACGGAAAATGAGGACCCCAACAAGTAGGCTCTTAGCTTACATAAGCAGCCTCAAAAGTAGCTAAACTACTCGGAGTGCAAAAACACTTCATGTGCTCCCTGCCAGACCTCTTCTTCATGCCTGGTCGAGAGCGGAGTCCCTTCCAGTTCATGCTTCAACTTCTGGATGTCCTTGGCAGCGCGAGAAGCGCACATGTCCACTCGATGGTCGCATGCTCTGCACGCAATGCACCAGTGAAACTGCTTGGCCCCATTGCGCCGCTGCACAAGCGCACGCTTCATGACCCCCGATTCCTGCAGCCGATATGGCCGAAAAGACAAGCCAGATTATAAGCGGCAAGCACAAGTTCATGAACATGCTAAAAATAGTCCCGAAATCTGCGAGGGCAACTGCAAAGTAGCAAAACCACAACCTTCTGCAAATTACAATACTTGAGGCATTCGCGTGCTGCGAAATCATACCGCATCATGACCATATCGGTTTTGCTTCGGAGTCTTCCCATATGCCCACGGACTGACGCGTTTATTCCTAAATAACTTTCACCCCGCTTCCGCTAAAATGATCATGAGCATCATGACCATATCGGTTTTGCATTATTGTCTTCACATATGCCCACGAGTTGACACGTTTATTCCTAAATAGCTTTCACCCCGCCTCCGCTAAAAAGATCAAGAGCATCATGACCATATCGGTTTTGCTTTGTTGTCTTCCCATATGCCCACGGGTTGACAAGTTTATTCCTAAATAGCTTTCACCCCGCCTCCGCTAAAAAGATCAAGAGGATCATGACCATATCGGTTTTGGTTTGTTGTCTTCCCATACGCCCACGGGTTGACACGTTTATGTCTAAATAGCTTCCACCCTGCCACTGCTCAGCTATCAAGAGCATCATGACAATGCCGGTGTTTCTTCGGTGTTTTCCCATGCGCCCACGGGTTGACACGTTTATTCCTAAATAGCTTCACCCGCATGTGTCCACTCGATGGTCGCATGCTCCGCACGCTACGCACCGGTGAGCCTGCTTGCCCCCATTGCGCCCCTTCACGAACGCGCGCTTCATGGCCTCCTTATACTCCTGCAGCCGATATGGCAACGTGATTAATAGCTTGGATCCTGAGAGTGGCATGATCACGAACATTCGACCCTGCAACATGCTGGGCAATGACAACTTATGGCTGTTAAATACAAGTTGATGATCGTGCCCAATAAACCATCGAAATCAGCAAAGGCAACTGCAAGATACCATTATCGAAAAATATTGCGAATTACAGTGCTTCAGGCCTCCGCATGCCAAAAAAATCTACCGTCACGAATGCCGGCGCGTACTAGTACTAGTACTAGTACTAGTACTAGTACTAGTACTACAAGTACTACTAGTACTATTGTACTACTAGTACTAGTAGTACTACTAGTACTACTAGTACTACTAGTACTAGTAGTACTAGTAGTACTAGTAGTACTAGTAGTACTAGTAGTAGTACTAGTACTACTAGTACTACTAGTACTACTAGTACTACTACTACTGCTACTACTACTACTACTACTACTACAATTTCTAATGATATTGTTACCACTATTATACCACTACTTTACTAATACTGTTATTATTACAATCAGTACTGCCCTACAACAGACCCAACGCAGAGGAAGCAAAGGCGCGGTTGGTGTCGCCCGCCAGGAGGATTTCTTTGACTGCTTTGTACCTTAGCTTCTCTTTCCCGCGATTAGGGCTTAGGGCTTAGGGTTTCGGGTGTAGGGTTTCAAGTTCAGGGAGCAGGGTTTGGAATATACTGCCTAACGCCAGGGTGCTGCATCATTTCTTCCCATCAAGGCCCCCCCACACTAATCGGGATTCGACATTATGATCATATGAGCTGTAATCGATATCCCCATATGAGCTACTGTCTAAACTCCTAGTATCCCCCTTTATATGCCCTATAGTAGTCCCCTATATAACCCCTATATATCCCCCTTTTAAGGAGTTTAGACTATAGGTCAAATAATTACTGGATGCCATCTTAAGGAATATACTAAACTACAAGAGGGACCCCTATGTCCACCCCTGAGGGCCCCTTAGTAAGGCTGATATTGACAGTAGCTCATATCAGGACCACGGGACCCTAAACCCTAAACCCTAAACCCCTGAATCCTGGGCATGAATTCATGGTTGATGCAAGAAATCCTCCACACTGTGCTGGACTGCTGTCAAGGAACTTGTTTTAAGTTACTGTAGGGTTTAGGGTTTAGGGTTTAGGGTTAATAAGGAAACCCAATCAATGATGGGCCATCATCTACTAGATGCCCATATTGTGGTAACATAATTTATGTTCCTTAACAGCAACCCAGCGTTGCACAACTTGCCCTAGCCCCTAAACCGGCCTCAAACCCCAGTAAAAGAATTAATTTTTGGTTGTTACTAAGATTATACCAACCAAAAATTACAAAATATTTTGGAGGCCCCTATAGGCCACCCATACACTAACTTGAGTAAGGGGCAACCTCGGGGGAGGGTCGTATGGGGGGGCAAGGAGGGGATCCATAAACTAAGGAAGGGACCTCGGGTTGTTTTGGGTTTAGGGTT